CTACAAAAATAGTAAACCAAAAGCAGTACCACATCCCTGGAGGGGTTGCCGAGATGGTTACTGTCACCATCCAGGACTTGAAGGACGCAGGGGTGGTGATTCCCACCACATCCCCATTTAATTCACCTATTTGGCCTGTGGAAAAAACAGATGGATCTTGGAGAATGACAGTAGATTATCGTAAACTTAATCAGGTGGTGATTAATTGCAATCTGCAGCTGCTGTTCCTGATGTGGTTTCATTGCTTGAGCAAATTAGTACATCTCCTGGTACTTGGTATGCAGCTATTGATCTGGCCAATGCCTTTTTCTCAATACCAATTTCAAAGGACCATCAGAAGCAGTTTGCCTTCAGCTGGCAACGCCAACAGTATCCCTTCTCAGTCCTTCCTCAGGGGTATATCAACTCCCCAGCACTATGTCATAATTTAGTACATAGGGATCTTGATTGCCTTTCCCTTCCACAAGACATCACACTGGTCCATTATATTGATGATATTATGCTGACTGGACATAGTAAAGAAGAAGTATCAATGACTCTAGACTTATTGCTAGAAGTTGGGAAATTAACCCAATGAAAATTCAGGCACCTTTCACCTCAGTGAAATTTCTAGGGGTTCAATGGTGTGGGACATGTTGAGATATTCCTACTAAAGTGAAGGATAAGTTATTGTATATGGCTTCCTGCACTACTAAAAAGGAGGCAGAACGTCTGGTAGGTCTCTTTGATTTTGGAGGCAACATATCCCTCATTTGGGTGTGTTGCTGCGGCCTATTTATCAAGTGACTTGGAAAGCTGCTAGTTTTGAGTGGGGCCCAGAACAACAGAAGGCTCTGCAACAGGTTCAGGCTGCCATGCAGGCTGCTCTGCCACTTGGGCCATATTATCCAGCTGATCCAATAGTGCTTGAAGTGTCTGTAGTAGATAGAAATGCTGTTTGGAGCCTTTGACAGGTTCCTATTGGTGAATTGTAACACAGACTCTTGAGGTTTTGGAGCAAAGCCCTGCCATCCTCTGCAGATAACTACTCTCCTTTTGAGAAACAGCTTTTGGCTTGTTACTGGGCTGTAGTAGAGACTGAATGCCTAACCATGGGCCACCAAGTCACCATGAGGCCTGAGCTGCCCATCATGAACTGGGTGTTGTCTGACCCACAGAGTCGTAAAGTTGGACGTGCACAGCAGCACTCCATCATTAAATGGAAGTGGTATATCAGAGATCGAGCTCGAGTAGGACCTGAAGGCACAAGTAAGTTGCATGAGGAAGTGGCCCAAATACCTATGGTCTCCACTCCAGTCACGTTACCTTCCCTCTTCCAGTCTGCACCTATGACCTCATGGGGAGTTCCTTATGATCAGTTGATTGAGGAAGAGAAAACTCATGCCTGGTTTACAGATGGTTCTGCATGATATGCAGGCACCATTCAAAAGTGGACAGCAGCAGCACTGCAGCCCCTTTCTGGGACTTCCTTAAAGGACAGTGGTGAAGGGAAACCCTCTCAATGGGCAGAACCTCGAGCCATGCATATGGCTGTTCACTTTGCATGGAATAAGAAATAGCCAGATGTGTGATTATATATGGATTCATGAGCTGTGGCTAATGGCTTAGCTGGATGGTCTGGGACTTGGAAGGAGCATGATTGGAAGATTGGTGATAAGGATGTGTGGGGAAAAGGTATGTGGGTAGATCTCTCTGAATGGGTCAAAAGAGTAAAGGTATTTGTGTCTCATGTGAATGCACACCAAAAGGTGAAATCAGCAGAGGAGGACTTTAATAATCAGGTGGATAGGATGACATGTTCAGTGGAAACAAGCTGTCCTTTTTCCCCAGCTACTCCTGTCATTGCTCAATTGGCTCATGAACAAAGTGGTCATGGTGGCAGAGATGGAGGTTATGCATGGGCTCAGTAACATGGACTCCCACTTACCAAGGCTGATATGGCTACCACCACTGCTGAGTGCACAATCTGCCAACAGCAGAGACCAACCCTGAGTCCACGATATGGAATGGCCTCTTCAAAACACAAATATGGCACCAGCGAGGTGGCAATACCTTGAAGAGTTGGGGCAATGTTCTCCAGAAGGCTGTATATGCTCTAAACCAGCATCCAATATGTGGTTCTCTTTCTCCAATAGCCAGAATTCATGGGTCCTGGAACCAAGGGGCGGAAGCAGGAGTGGTACCACTCACTATTACCCCTAGTGACCCACTCCAAAAATTTTGGCTTCCTGTCCCTGCTACCCTATGCTCTGCGAGTCTGGAGATCTTAGTCTCAAAGGGAGGAACACTCCCATCTGGAGACACAATACTGATTGCATTGAACTGGAAATTAAGAATGCCACCCAGCCATTTTGGCTTCCTCATGCCTCTGGATCAACAGACAAAGAAGGGCATTACTGTACTATCTAGTGTGATAGATCCTGATTGCCAAGGGGAAATTGGGTTGGCTTTACATAATGGAGGTAAAGAAGAATATGTCTGGAATACAGGAGATTCTTTAGGATGTCTCTCAGTATTACCTTGCCCTGTGATTAAAGTCAATGGAAAATTACAGCAACCCCATTCTGATATGACTGCTAATGGCCCAGACCCTTCAGGAATGAAGGTTTGGATCACCTTACCAGGCAAAGAACCACAACCAGCTGAGGTGCTTTCTGAGGGCAAGGGAAACACAGAATGGATGGTGGAAGAAGATAGTTCTGAATATCAGCTACGACCATGTGACCAGCTGCAGAAACGAGGACTATGATTGCTATATTTCTTCATTGTATATGTGCATGAAATATTGTTTCCTTCTGTTATGAACTGTGAGATGTAAATAAGGTTAATGCATTTTCGTTGTATGTGTGTTAGCGTATCATGTTAGGCATGAATATGACTTTATAATTGTCCTTATTTAGAGATTATATATGGTTAAGATGTGTACAACTGCCAAGTTGACAAGGGGTGAACTGATAGTTGGAGCTGTGTGTCAACTTGGCTTGACCCCAGTTCTGTGTGATTTTTCCCATGATGGGATCAGATGACTGTGTTCTTAGTGGCCAATCTGTTGAAGGGGAGTTTCCCTAGGGGTGTGGTCTGCTTCCAGTATATCCAGGGATATCCTGGGAAGAGAGACATTCTTCTGTGGATCGGGATTCTATTGTGCTGCCTACAAATGTCCATGAGTGAGAAGTTCACCATTTGGCCTGGAGATCTTGGATTCATTATTCGTTGGAGTCAACAGCCAGTGTACTTACTGCCTGCCAGCCTGGAACTCCTCAGCCCCTGCAGTTGCGGGAGCCAGAAAAGCCTCTAGCTTGATATTTAATCCAGGAACTTTGGACTTGCTGGCTTCTATACATGTGTGAGCCATTTTCCTAAGATAATTTTTTTTTTTCTCTCTCTCTCTCTATATATATAAACTTGCTGGTTTTTTTCTTTAGAGAAGCCAGTCTAACACACCTAGCATTTAGCTTTTGTCATAAGCCAGTCTCTGTGCTGGGGGCACATTCTCACACACCCGTCTTTGGTTAAAGAGCAAGCTTCTGTTTTATTAAGAGTTGAAAATGGACCGGAACAGCATGTAGGGCAGAAGGCAGAGCAGGAACCAGAAACCAGGGCTGCTTCGCTCCGGGAATTCTGAGGCCTGAGAGCGTATATTTTTCAGTTTGGGAGGGGATCTCATTTCCTCAGCATTATAGGGCCTTCCTTCCAGCTCAGTCACATTTTTGATCCAGACGTCATATTTAGCTAATAAAGTATATATTCCTGGAATGTTTTTAAGTCCACAGCTCCTTCCCCAGCTGATGATGCCTACCTGGTACCACTTCTTGTCAGTCCCTGGAGTGCAGACTAGAGGCCCCCCACTGTCACCCTGTGGGCAGAAAACACAGTTCAGTAGGGAGTCACATTCTAAACTATTTGAGGAAGGGAACAGCTTATTAATGGAAGATAATTCATTGGCTTCCTCTACTCCACACTGCCAAAGGAATCTTATAATTGTGGACAAATCTTCACTCATATCCCAGCCAGTCTGCACCCCTATTCCAGCCAATCCCCATCCCTATCCCAGCCAATTCCCACTCTTGTCCCAGCCAATCTCCATCCCTATCTAGGCTCTCTGAGAGAAGTCTGCTTCTGTCAGGCTGGCTCCAGGAGTTGTGGGGGTAAAGAATTAGAGAATGGGCAGTGGATAGGACAGGAAGTGAGAGAAGGGGAGAGGAAGGAAGGACTTGGTGAGAAAAGATAGATCCATCAGGAGAATAGGCAGAGAAGAGCAGGAAGACAGCGTGAATTTAACTCAGGCTGAGGGAAGACTAGAGACTAGTTTGTGGGTATTACCAAACGGTAAGCTCTGGAAAGGGCTGTGAAAGAATTGATAAAGAAAAAGGGATGCAAGAAATGTTACTAGTTTTAAAAATGGGATCTCCTCTGATGTTCTTCCAGAGGCATGGAGAAGAATGATGTTCCTTTTTAATCCTGTCATGGGTGCTTTCAGAGGGGCAAGTAAACTAAGCTTTTCTGAATATGAGGCCCTTGGCCAAATCACATGGACCTATGACTTCAATAGGGTTACTTCATAGTGGCTAAGACACTTGCCTGCTAACCAGACGGCTGGTGGTTCAAACCCACCAGCCACTCTTCGGAAGGAAGGTTGGGCAGTCCTACTTCCGTAGTGATACTGCCTCGGAAACCCAAGGAGGGGTCGTTATGAGTCGGGGCGACTCAATGGCACATAACAACAACAACAACAACAACTTTTTTATAAAGAGAATTTGTACTAAGTTCCTGCCAAGTATCACACACCTTTTTTTTTTTTTTCCTTTTATCTGTTTTATATAAAGAAAATGAGGCTCCTGGAAGATAAAAGTCTTGTTCAAGGGTATATAATAGCTGGGCCAGAGCTGGAACTCAAGATACACCAGTGTCAAAGCCCATGATCTTTTCACCTGCTACACTGCTTCTCGTCTAAGCAACTGAGTGGGTACGATTTTCCAAGGGGAGTTTCTTCAGTGGAGTGGGCGTGTCCCTTTCCATGATTGTGGAAAGGTTACTAGAATGAATGGAGCATTATAATAAACTGTAGCAGAGGAGGAGAAGGTTGACATTACCTGGATAGGATGTGCAAGGCACAATGTTGGCTCCTTAACTTATATTTTCTCATTTAACCCCATCACCTCACAACTCTGGCATTTTGATCCACATTTTGTAATTGGAAAATCGAAGGTCAGAAGAGATTATATCATTTCCATTTAACAAATCTTTATTGAACAAAAGCTAATTGTCAGACATAAGGGATAAAACTTACAGTGTCCAGTTAGGAACACACAAATATAAACATAGAATCAACTGTGTTAGATGGAACAAGAAAAAGAAGAGCAAGATATTGAAGGAAGGCAGAGGAAAAAAGGATTGATTCTGTTGGGGGAAATGGTATCCCAGGAAAGACTTTATTTAGTTTGAAGGATGAATGGGAATTTGATAAGCAAAGTGTACATGTAGAACCATGTCAGACAGGAGGTACAGGGACTAATTAAAAAGTGAAAAAAATAATTTTAGTCTGAACTAGAGCACAAGAAGGTCAGAATAAAAGGGAGATGCCTTGAAGGTTAAACTGAAATGAGCTGATGAATGGTTGCAGAAGGACAGTGGAAATGGATGGTGAGGGAAGAGGAATTATTAAGGACTCTCTCCACATTTTTCCAGTTAGGGTTCAGGTCACTGGATGTCATCAGCATAGATAAAGTTCAGGGGGGAAGATAATGAATAAATTTTGTTCAGTTCAAGTTTGGGTTGATTGTGGAATGCATCAAAGTGACATATAGCTCTTTACTGTGAATCTGCAGAGAAGTTGGGGCTTGAGATAGTTTGCTCCAGGACACCCAGCAAATATGGGAGAAAACCAGTATTACCCTATCCAGTATATTATATTGCCTTCAACATTCTTTAATTTTTTGTGAGTGTGTTGTTTTCTTTGTGCTAGTTCTATTTCACAGTCATGGAGAAAAAAACGAACCAACAGGAGTTCCACTCAAATAGCCCCTTCCAGAGGTGTTGTTTTGAACAATTTTCTTCATTTTATGGAGGCATGAATGTTATAAAAAATCTTGCCATAGAAATGTTGCATTATATGTTGTTACTTCTTCACATATCAAGAAGAGAATTATCCCTGGGCAAGTAAGTAACTCTTTCAAGTCTCAATTTCCTCACCTACAAAGTGGAGATAATAATAACTACTTCAAAAGATTGTTGGTAGATGAATTTAAAAAATCTACTCCTTTGAAGTAATCCTTACTTTATTTCCAAGAGAAATGGAAAAAAAAAATATTATAGGCATAAAAACAAAGCATTCAGCACTGGACCTAACACATAGTATATGCCAGCAATGGTGGTATTATCTTACCCCAATGTATTACAAACATTGCTTGTACATGTAGGAAATAGAGATTCCATCTATGGAATGCTGGGACCCACAGAGACATCTGGAAATATGTGTCTTTTCATGTATTTTTGCCTATAATACATTTTTTTTTCCATTTCTCTTGGAAAGAAAGTAAGGATTGCTTCAAAGGAGTATCTGGCCACAGCCAGCAAGGAACCTGGCATTGATGACAACCCTGTGAGGGGCTTTTCCCCAAGGGCTAATGCTAGCAGCCAAAGACCTGTCTCATGAGATACATGCTGTCCATAAGAGCCTCTCAATTTTCCCATTGTGAGATAATGGCTCCATGTGATCTCTCCTATTCACTTTTTTGTGTTGAAGAAACAGAGGGCCTAACTTCCAGGTCTCACCACGCTACTGCCCAGTATTTGACTTTGGGCAAATCACTTACTTTCTGAATTCCTGCTTTTTCATCTGTTAAATGGGAGAGTGAGACCTATCTAGCTCATCTTATGGGGTAGTGGAGAAGATGAAATTATTTAATATGTGTGAATGGGCTATAAAAATTATACTGTTTCTGATTTATTCAGCTATCAAAGGGAACCATTGATTAAAATAAGTAGATAAATTACCTGAATTCATTTTCTCATCAAGAAAACAGTGTTTTGATGAAATGTTTTTATACAGTCTTTTCTGGCTATAAAAATCTGTGATTCTAGGATTCTGTGGTATGAAATCAGAATTCCCTGAAGCTATTGTGGGTGATGTGTTCAAGATATTTAAAAAACAGTTGCCATGGAATTGATTTTGCTTCATGGTGACTCCATGTATGTCAGAGTAGAAATGTGCTCTGTAGGGTTTTCAGTTACCACAAGGATCCTTCATGTTGCCCTTTTATGGCCACACACTAATCCCTCAAGATGGGGCAATCTACTTCTGTAGTGATACTGCCTCAGAAACCCAAGGAGGGGTCGCTATGAGTTGGGTCCGACTCAATGGCACACAACAACAACAACAACAATCCCTCCTACTTCAACAACCACAGTTACCATTGGCGACCAAACAAAATTTTCCTTTATTAGCAAACAAACAAATTTGTTTGTTCTCCATTTCTTTGTTGTTGTTGTTGTTGTTAAGTGTCATCAAGTTAGCTCCAACTCAGTGACCCTGTGTACAACAGAATGAAACACTGCCCAGTCCTACATCATCCTCACAGTCCTTGCTATACCTGAGCCCATTGTTGCAGTCACTGTATCAATTCATCTTGTTAAGGGTCTTCCCCTTTTTCTCTGACCATCCACTTTACCAAGCATGATATTCTTCTCCAGGGAACAGTCCCTTCTGACAACATGACCAAAGTAGGTGAGACAAAGTCTGACCATTCTCGCTTCTAAGGAACATTCTGGCTGCACTGCTTCAGGACAGGTTTGTTAGTTCTGGCAGTCCATGGTGTTTTCGGTATTCTTCATCAACACAATAATTCAAAGGCATCAACTGTTCTTCCAACTTCTTTATTCACTGTCCAACTTTCACATGCATATGATGCAATTGAAAATACCATATCTTGGGCTAAGGACACCTTAGTTTTCAAAATGGCATCTTTGCTTCTGAACACTTTAAAGAGGTCTTTTGCAGCAGATTCACCCAGTGCAATATGTTGTCTGATTTCTTGCCTGCTGCTTCCATGGGTGTTAATTGTGTATCCAAGTAAAATGAAATAATTATCCATAAGTTAGTAATTTCAAGAATCATGGGAATGAAATCATGCAGTACATAAACTTTTCAGATTGGCTTGCTTCACTCAGCATAAGACTCTGGATATTCATCCAGGCCATTGAGTGTATAAATAGATTGTTCCTTTTAATTGCTGAGTAGTGTTGGAGCAATATTTCAATCTGCTACGCATAAGGTCACCACAAGTTGTAGCTGACTCACTGATAACTAACTAACCACCACCACAACAGTATTTTATGGTGTGACTATACTATATTTTTGGCTATTATGAATAAAGCTACTATAAACAGGTTTTTGTGTGAGCACAAATATTTATTTTTCTGGAATAAATGCCAAGTGTTTAATTGCTGGGCCAGAAGGCAAGGGAATTCTTAGTTTATTAAACTACCAAATTGTTCTCCAGAGTAGTTGTACCATCTTTACTTCTCACCAGCAATGAATGTGTGATCCAATTTCTACACATTTTTGCCAGTATTTGATGCTATTATTGTTTTTCATTTTAGCCATTTCCATAGATGTGTAGTGATATCTTGTTGTGGTTTTAATTTGCATTTCCCTACTGGTTAATGATTGCACATCATTCACATACTTAGTTATTGGCTTGGTTCTTTAGTACTGCTATAACAGAAATGCATAACAAACAAGAATTTATTCCCCTACAGTTCAGGAGACTGGAAGTCCAAATTCAGAGTGCTGGCTCTATGAGCCATTGACCTTGGGCTGTCATTCTACCTCTTACTCCAGGCCCACTGAGCTGG